TCATAGCATTATAACAAAAAAGAAAAAAATGTATAAGTTGCAATGAATGGGTTTGATATTCGGAGTAGAAGTTGGAGAAGGACAGACTCGGGATGATTACTAATATAACTAACTAGTTATTATCGAGCGATCACATTAGCTTCAGTCTGATCTCCTCAATGGTCAACGACAGAGAAGCAACATAATTAGACGGATGATCGCCTTTGAGACTCAATGGATTTCGACATCTTGAGGTACTGATGCAAAAGATGTCTAATGCTCCAAACGAGGACGACATCATTATTCCAGTGTCGCCATGTTGAAAGAGCTTCTCACTTAGGACAAACTTGCCCACAACTGACCTGAATGCCGTAGGCCCAAGCATTGAAACACAGAGGCATCTTGCATGAGCCTGTGAAGGGATTTCGTGTGCTGAATTCTTCTTTCCCTTAGTCTCTTGAGGTGACCAGCGTAATCATCCAGAGTCCCATACCCTTGAAGCTGCATGATGTTACCATTATTGCCCTGCGACAAATTATAATGCGGTATTGCTGGAAGATGGATACATGTAGCTGCGGTGCAACCTGGAACTCTCTTCTCTGTTGGCTGATTCTTTAGCTGAATGGCTAACTTCTAAAATCACAGCCGCACCTTCCTATGCTTTACTTCAAATGAACCATGGCATTTGAATCTAATATAAAAAGCGGCTCTTCGCCCTCATCCCTACATGGAACTTTATCACTTCATGGGAGATGTCGGTGCTTGTCTTTCTCGCCATGTTATTGAGATTTCTTTTCGCCGCGAGTTTAGTCCAGCTCGCCGCTGCTTCAAACGACTGTCTCAATGAACCCGTGCCTATCACTAATGCCCCAAAAGCCAACGTCTGGGCAGGAATCAGTGCTGAGGACAATTTTGCTGTCTGGGAACTTCTTCATGACCCTACGACTGGCCTCAACCTGACATCCCCCGGCAACGCAACTATCACTGATAATTATGTCTTCTGGATTGATGCGATGCCGACGAATAAATCCGCAGTGCTTGCTTACCTCGACAACGATAACCCTCCGCCCCTGAAATACGCCCGAGTTATCATTTTTGAAGGTGGAAGGGAAGACCCTAGGTCTCAAGAATACATGGTTGGCCCCCTTCCTGTATCTCCTGCGACCATTGTCGAACCTCTCGACTACATTTACAATGGGGATATGGGTGGATCTGTGCCTTTCAATGCCCGCAGCTTCGACGATGTACGTGAAATTGCCGTGGAGCCACTAGTTGCGTCTATTATGTCCAGCATTGCCCACATAACGTCGGTGCTATTCCAGGGAGGCGTGTATTATGGCAAGGAGGATAACAGAACGACACTAAAATTTTCTTATACCAATCCTGTTTCTTTTGATGGAGAGCAGGCATTTCTCAACATTATGTTTAGATTACCAGCAAACGCTTTCCTGACTCCACTGGACTTCTTTCTCCTCATTGACTGTACTGGAACAGACCCTTCCACCTACTCCGTAAAAGGTTTTGTAACAAAAGAGCGGTTCTTTCCTACCGTTGAAGAGTTGGCGATGGCGTTTGCGGCTGGTGAGCTGAACCAGGAGTTTGACCAGACCACAAACGGTTCCTGGGCTTTACTGGATCGTAAGACTGAGATGGGCACTCGTGAACTGGATGAGAAGTTCTCTGCGACTCTCTTGGAGCTTGGCGGGAAGAGATATAAGTTGGACAAAGGCCAACGCTTCGTGGAGTATATGGGTTGGTCTTTCTACATGGCACACAGTCGCACTCTCGGCCTCATGTTTTTTGATATCAAGTTCAAGGGTGAACGCATTCTCTATGAATTATCGCTTCAAGAAGCTCTAGCTCAGTATGGAGGAAACCAACCCCTGGCAGCGAGCTCAGGTCAGTGTGTTCACCTCACAATGCACCACAATATCATATATGCAAAACTGACCACTACCATAGCCTTTCAAGATACTCACTACAGTCTAGGAGCCAGGATGGGAGTCCTGCTTGAAGGGTTTGATTGTCCATATGGATCCACCTTTTTGAACTTGACTTACCATGAGGGCAACCACACCATAACCAGCCCTGATTCCATCTGCATTTTCGAAACTGACATAGGATTTCCCATTTCCCGGCACCTCTCTAGAGTTGAAGAGTCTCGGTCGGGATACACAAGCCTGGGTGTAGTCAAGGGCAATGCACTCGTAATACGCGCAGTGGCTACGGTTGACAATTATGACTACATGTTTGATTATACATTCCACGTCGATGGGACGCTCGGAATCTCAGTCCGTGCTAGTGGCTACATCCAATCTAGCCCCTATTACAAGTCGCAGAGGCAATGGGGCCCTCGCATCCAGAAAGCTACCCAAGGATCGCTCCATAGCCACATCCTGACATGGGAAGCGGACTTTGACATTGTTGACTCCTCTAACTCCTTCCGGATCGACAAATTGGTGGCCACACAGCAATCGCAGCCCTGGTTCCCTGAGCTCGACGATTTTGAGCAAATTGAGGTTCAAAGCAGCTTCTTGAAAAAGGAAGAACGAGTGAACTACGAACCAAATAGCCAGGCCATGTACTGTGTGGTGAATAAAGGAAAGAAGAATGTTTGGGGCGAAACCCGGGCTTATCGGATCGTTCCTGGTCACTCCAATGTCCACGTCCCAATCTTCAATTCCCCATTCTCCCTAAAGAATTCTGAATTTGCCAAACAGCATCTCGCCGTCACTCGCCAACATGACCATGAGCCCTTTGCAAACTCCGTCCAAAATACCAACTTGCCCTGGAAGCCGCAACAGGATTTCAGCAAATTTTTCAATGAAGAATCTCTAGACCAGGAAGATCTGGTCGTATGGGTAAATATGGGCATGCACCATTTTACCCGCTCTGAGGATGTGCCTGTGACGTTATATAGCGGGTCGCATGCAAGCATGGCTTTCTCACCACACAATTTCTTCGACCGGGCACAAGATAGCGACTTAATGAATCGGCGCTGGGTGGTAGTAGATCAGGAAAGTCAGGAGCTAGATTTCGAAGATTACGGTGTGAAGCTTCCCCAGTGTAAGATTCGGATTGAAGAACCGGTTCTGGGCCTCGATCCAATACTAGACACCTAAGAGATGAAATACCTTGCACAAATCTACTTTGCGCTTTTCTGATTCTTGTGAAGCCTGGAGGGTTATGATGCTCTCTGTAGTATCAACCCTATCTCAATATATTTATATTTTCGTCTTACGGAGTACATTCATGTGCCTGTCCTTGGATAAGACAGATTCCGACTCAAATGGATTGAGTTCAGGAGAAGTAATATATTACTTTTCATTAATTAATTAATTAGTGAAAATCTGGGAGTAGCTTTATATCTCTATGCAAGTCATTCTTATACGTTACTGAAATTATCGAGATATCCGTGAGCCTGCCTGCCTGATTGTCACGAGATCTTTTTATGTTTCATGGTGGAGTCTCCTTCGGAGTAATGCATAGTCATAGCTAGCTCGTCGCCAAACCTATAAGCTGCTTGTTCGTGCCTATGAACTTGAAAGCATTGGCTATATCTGTGTTGCATTATCCCCTCTTTTATGGGCAGACTCCACCATTCATCCAGCAATGACAGCCGAACGATTGGTGAGAGAATGGAAGAAGCTGGATCATAGCAAGCATATCTCACCTGGAAGTTTT